TACATAATTGAATTTGAAAACCTTGAGAAACCACATTGCTTTATGGTTGAAACTGCATTAAATTCGAAGGATAGAAGAATGCCTATCCAACTCCATAATTATACCTTTTTTATGTCAAAATTGGACCAAATTTTGGGAGAGATAAGCGCGACAAATTTCTTGTGCGGACAAGATAATATTGAAAGGATTTTATCACTTTGTCAGAATAAATGTAACAGATATAATGATATAGTTCGAGATGACAGTAGATAATTTGATGAAAAATTGACTATGTTTAAAACAGTTTAATAATGAAATGTCATGTGACATTATGTCAAGAATTATGGCATTGTAGCATGATTGATACCGAAAAGCAATTATGTTTGAAATACGATTAATACATGATACTGAAAAATATTAAAGAAAAATAATAAACTTTCTCAATAGTCGAGCCTTTCTATTTTAAAAAATCTCAACTTTACCATACAGATCAAATTCATTAGAAGTCTGATACACATAAATTTTAGAAAAGGGTGGCAACAAGAACCCAAGTTTTTGCTTCTAAAAAGTTAAATTATTATAAGGGAAGTAAATACATATATTTAGTTAAATCTTGTATGTCAATAGTATATCTAATTTAGCACCTATCTGTCATCCATTTTTCCAAAATTCTTTTTTTTTTTTCTAGCTCAATTTCAACCACACATTTACAGAAAAAATATTTTGCACGTAGATGTAAAACTTTTTCATATTTTTCAACTACACATTTTCCAAAAAAATCACTATTCTAAAAATCATTTTTCTAAAATGAAAAATCTCTTTTCAATGACTACCAAACAAAGGCGTAGTATATGAAAGATGGCAATGTTAATGTCTATGATGCTCCTTCCTAGTATGCTATTATACTCCTTTCAAAGTCGGTATTGTTAAAATTGAATTGAATCAACCTATTCAAGAAATAGAACCCACTAAAATAACTTAAGAACTAAAACCACTCGATTTGCTCAAAACCAACTCTTCACTCCGAAGTTGTTATTTATTTATTTTAATCTGTTTTGTTATCGATTTGACTCTGATTTGATCCTTTTAACCCGAGTCATTATTTGAACTGATTTTAAAAATATTATTCAAAGCACTTAAGAGGAGAGAAATAAAATAAATTAATTTTAACGATTATATTAATTTAAATAAAAGTAACTATAGGCGAGTGACAGTACACCCCGTCCCCTTGCGATTCATATTTGCAACAAAGGGAAAAGCAACTTCATTTTGTTTTAAATTGGTCACTCAACTTGATTGAGTTCAATCCTTTTGGGAAATATACATTTTGAAATAGTGACTTTTGGTGAATGTGCATTTTTTTTTTCAAAAAAAAAAAAAAATTATTTAATTTTATGAGAGAATGTGTGATTAAAATAAATTTTAAAAATAATGAGTTTTAGACAAAATAGAGCTCAAATAGGGCAATTTTGTTTCGAGTTTGACTAACGAAAATGTGACATTAAAATCTTCTAATTCAACTAAACTACCACATCAAACTTTCCGTTTGTCTGTCAATATAGAATTACCAAATTGTATAAATATTTAAGTTCAATGACTAACTTAAAACAAAAGGAACTTCGGTGACTAAGATAAAGTCCCAAATTCTGTTAACCACAACTCCAAAAGAGAATCAAAGGAGCACAAAAATGACTTAAACTGATCTCAAAATACTTAATCCCAATGTCTTTTACGAACAAAAGAATCAGATGAGCACAAAAAAGAGGAGAGGAGAGGATCATCTGCCGGCACATGCAGAGCTTCCTCTTTACCTTGTGCAGAAATTATACTGGAACCAGAGTCCATTCCCGATATTTTCTGCTTTGGAACCTTCTTCATCATCTTCTTCTCCAATGCCGCCACCTTTTCTGGAGGAAAGTACGGGCATATGGGTGATCTGAGCCTACGGCACTTGCAGCATTTGAATCCAACAACCTCGAAAATCTTGGACTCATCCAATTCAACAGCATCGGCATGAAACCAATCTATAAATGGCCACAACGTTAGTTAATTACTTGCTTGCATGGCCACAACCTCTGTTAATTACTTGCTTCCATGGCCACAACAACAAAAATTAAAAACTCAAGAACATAAATCACATAGAAATATGCCAGCTAAAGTAATCTTACGTTGGCATGTTTCACAGCGGACGTACATTAAATCAGAATTATATGGCTGACTACAAAGACGGCAATCAGGTCTTGTCAAGTCCATATGTGGATTTCCTTTCAGAAGAATGTTCTTCAATCTGAAATCAATTCCATTGTCTTCACAGTTCTTCTTCCTCCATATCAAGCCCCAGGATAATTTTTTTCCTTTATTTACCGCTACAGAAGAATCGATTGATTTCACCTCAGGAAGACGCTGCCCAGTTCCGACTGATGCTGATGACCCATTATAGATTGCTTGCTTTCCGCGTTTATTAGCCGTGGCTGTGTTCAGAACATCTCGTCCTTGGAGTAAAGGACTTCTGGGGGACGCATTACAGATTTCAGTTCGAGTTAGAGCCTGAGTCTGGTAGCATTGCTTGCAAGTTATCAAAAACTCAACTTCCTCGTTCACAATAACTGTTGAACTATTAACACATTGCTCGTGACAGAGACCTGCACAATAAAATTTCACTGGTAAGTACTTACTTTGTTACTAATGTCATAAGCAAGAGGGGTCAGAACACTGCAACTAAAATTTTTAAAAAGAAAATGTAAGGAATTCCACGAATTGTAAATATCCATAATTATAAACAGATGTAGGCATTTTCTTGTAGAGCATTTCTTTTTAAAAGTCATGTAAAAACTGAAACATAAACTTCCATAAGTCTGACAAACTATTATAAATAGCAAGTTCAGACATTAGGAATCCTCCAAAGTTGATATCCGTATCCAAAGGACCTGTGCTCGCTAGCATATAATTAACGAAATAACAATTTACAATTAATACAGGTATTAATGTTTTCCTAGATCTTTTAATCGTATATAAAATATTATTTAAATAGGTGATTAATCATCAAACGAGAGGCACACGTGACACCCAGCTTTTGCGCGACAATAAAGCAGGATATACTCTACCGATGTTAGTCCATACTTCACTACCCCTTGCCCCCTTCTCTTAAAAATTTCTAGACTCAAGACGATTCCAAAAATATACAGCAATGCGTAGATCTTTAATTACAAATACATCATGATGGAGCCAAAAGTTATTGTTCCATACTTCTTATCTTCCAGGGGGAGAGGGGACTGGTGTGCGATGAAGTAAAGGAAAGTAGGTTTGCCTCTAATGGAAAGAACAAGTTGCAATTTTAGGTTGTTCTGGGAGAACCGTCAAAACAAAACAAAGCAATTCAATGTCATTGGCCTACTTTTGTCCAAGTGACTAAATCAGTGCCCAGATAGGAGGAAAGGTAGAAGTAGGTCTAGAGGAAGCTTTGGTAAATTGTACTCTCAGAGTAGCCTCTCTTTATTTTATTCTTGCAGGATCAAGGAAAAGTCATACAGGGATGCTGCAAAGGAGACTGAAGTTTGTCCAAGATAACAAAGTTGATAAGAACATAGAACACACATCACAAATAAAGGAAGTCTGCAAATATGAAGGTTTTATATAATGCCATTATACTCAAGTATACAGGTTCTTCATCATGTCATTGCTTGCTATACAAAATTAACATGTGAATCCTAGAGATATATGCTAATTCCTTCCAAAAGTAGGTATCATAAATGTCAAACAGTAGATTAGAGATACGGATGCTATATTTTCTCCACTGGCTATGGTTGCACCACTAAATGGTGCTATTTAATACAGTTTTAATTTACTTACACAGAAACAATAAGGAAAGAGGCCCAATGACCTCTACTCTGAATTTCTAACACCCTTACCTCCATTTCATATTGAACTACCATATCATTCATAGTATTTGATTCATGGATGAATTGTGTTCAATAGCTGAAACACTAGGATGGCTCCATTGATACCAATAAACACATTAAAAACTCTTGAAAACAACATATAGCACCAACTATATAAGAAATGCAGATGTAACAGAAAAGAAAAATGAGATAACAAAACAAAAGTTGATTTACAAACAAAAATGATTAAAAAGCAAAGTGCTTGTAATGTTATGAGATTATTTTGCTCGGTTGGGGATATAAAAGAGAGATGATTTACACGTGTCAAACAACTAATTCTATTTTTCGCCCAGTCTATTGCACGCATCACTGTTTTCTGGTACTCACATTTTAGTTCCTTTAGCATTAATTTAGAAGGGGCTATTTGGAAATTCCGTAGTGTACAGTATGTTCCTCAAATTGGTTAAGTATATGGGAAGTAAAAAAATTAAAAATTCAAACCGTTAAGAGAAGCAATTACAATTCAATACAAAAAGATGGTATTTCAATACTTTGGCATGCATTGCACTTGACAGAATTCCTGAACATCACAAATATTGCAATATATTAATGAAAGAAAAAAGTGCAGGAGCAGTAAAAGAAAAGGGAAAGATGTGTGAAACAAACTACCTAAACAAGACATTCTGATGACATGAAGAACAATAAAAATTGCTCCTATTGTCTTGCTTCCATAACAGATAAGAGAATATATTTTTGCAGGAACCCTTCAACTGCCCACTCTACAACTTGGACAATACATCCAAGGGCTTGTCCTTCGCCACACTCTCTCCGTATTCTTTAATTAGATATAATGGAATGTGTGTCTCAGAAAACCAATATCTTTCCTTTCCATCATGGCTTTGCTCTATTTCTGTTACATGTTTCATCACTCGAGAAGGAAGATGCTTCTGACTCCGAAAAACAATGCAATATCTAATTTCGTGTTCCATGTTGTTCTTACCACATATAAAAGCAATTTGTCCTCAGTAAGTTGCTCGTCACATGCCGGCACATGCAGAGCTTCCTCTTTACCTTGTGCAGAAATTATACTGGAATCAGAGTCCATTCCCGATATTTCCTGTTTTGGAACCTTCTTAATCATCTTCTTCTCCAATGCCGCCAACTTTTCTGGAGGCAAGTACGGGCATATGGGTGATCTGAGCCTACGGCACTTGCAGCATTTGAATCCAACAACCTCGAAAATCTTGGACTCATCCAATTCATCAGCATGAAACCAATCTATAAATGGCCACAACGTTAGTTAATTACTTGCATCGCCAAAACCTCCGTTAATTGCTTCCATGGCCACAACAACAAAAATTAAACACTAAAGAACATAAATCACATAGAAATATGCCAAAGTAATCTTACGCATGTTTCACAGCGGATGTACATTAAATCAGAATATGGCTGACCACAAAGACGGCAATCAGGTTTTGTCAAGTCCATTAGGTCTTGACTCATTTCATACAAGATCAAAGCCATCAAATTTTGGAGTTACTTTGGCTTGTTTGTGATGCATTTCCATGCAATACTTAAAAACGAGTTAGTAAAACAACAAAAATTTGTTTTTTTATCTTGTCCATACCACAAATTCTACCAAATTAAAGCACACATTAGTTACACGAGAATACAACACATCTAATACACTAACATTAATTTGAAGAAAATTCAGCCCGTGCATTATACGGGCAAAGACTAGTAATTATAAAGTTTATATATAACTCAGAAATACTAACATATAATTTTAAGTAAATATTTAACTTTTTAAAGTTAAATATCAATTTATATGTAAAAAAATTACATATAAGTAAAATATCACTTATAAATAAAAACTTTCATATAAAAAATCATAAATTCAAAATTTCACCAAGAGATGTGTATAACTTTATTTTTTTAAAAATAAAAACTTTTAAATAATATTTCCAACTATATTAATTACCTTTTTTAATACGTTTGAAAATGGAAACAAGCATGGGTGAAATATAATATCGACAAATACAATAATATACCATGTCAAAATAACTGCATTTAGTGTAGCCATTCAAGTCATTGGTAGAATTCAGATGCAGAAAGAGACGTAATTCAACAAGAAGATTATAAATTTTCAATTCTATGCATAAGTCCACTTCCAACAATATTCGATTCAAATGGATGGGGTATGGCATCAATATAAATAAAAGGGAGTCAAACTCTATGTCTTTATTCCTCCCCTCTTCTGCTTCTTATCCAACTCCTCAAAGTCGGGCTGTGGGGACTGGACCCTATTTTTCACAATCAAATAACCCTGAAATATCGCCATTCCTGAGCCAAAAATGAGAGCGGAGCGTGAAGCCGGGCCAAGGCCTCGGCACAATTCGAGTAATCCGGCGGCAGCGGCATTAGAGAGGACGGAAGTCCATGGATCATCCTTCTTCCTTACATGTATCAGAGAACTCTCGAAGACAGAAGTAAGACCACCCCAGACGGCACAGTGGCCAGCACAACGGGGGGCATTCACTCGTACAGCTTGTAAGCCCCGGATGAGGCACTCACCTTTAGGAGAGTTGTACATGCCTTTCAATGTGTAAAAAGCCGGCCCGCCAACGATTCCAACTCGGAAAAATTCGCCAGTCTGATCCAGTAGGTGATCGAACCATGGTTCGTCATGTACCATCCTTGATTCTACATTCAATTAACTATATCAATTTGCATATAAATGAATAGAAAATAACTCAAATGTAAACTACAGAAAATAACACAAAATGGTTAATTGCAAAGTTTTATCAACATGTAAACGAAAAAAAAAAAACTTAAATTCTGCTCCTGACTTTCCCACTGCATATTTGATCACCCTCAGTGCCTAAACAAAACAATTAAATCAGATGGCCACTACATGAGTATTGTGCTGATACAAATAGTTATGGCTACTTGAAGAATCAAAAATTGTAAAGGCGAATGCAGATGCTGATAGTTCTAGTTCTGCCCCAATCAACTTTTCAAACCAGTAGGAGTCAGAAAGTTTCAGTTTGATGGCTGACCTGTCCGGTAATTTGAACCCACAGACAATCATATTCACTCAATTCTCAGTTCTCCACGGCACGTTCTCAAATGTATTTACTCAGTNATTTGAACCCACAGACAATCATATTCACTCAATTCTCAGTTCTCCACGGCACGTTCTCAAATGTATTTACTCAGTCCTCAAGAAGCTACCCATTATGTTTGTATTCCCTTAAAACAATTCTATCCTTTTATTCCATTAAGTTTCAAAGGAACCTATTAAGTAAACCCAAAATTAAATTAATCAATCGACTAATTCTCGGATCATTAGTTCAACAAAGTGATTCCAAAATGCATGATACTTTTGATTTATCTTTATATCGTGTTCATCTAAGAGTGACCTCCCTTAAGGGGAGAAGAACAAGATTGATTGACATGCAGAAATTCATACAAACATACACATTGAGTTTTTACGAGTAAACATGACCAATAGTCCAAAATAAAACCCAGTGGCAATTGATTATACAAATTTTAACTCACTAAAACAAAAACTTTATAAAAGAAAAATGGTTAAACAAAAACAAAATCTAGAGCTTAGAAAGAGAGAGTGACTAAGTTCCTAATAAGCATATTCAAATCAAGTATAGTATATTGGAATTCCACCTTCACGTTGATTTCTTGATTCCACCTTTAAATTCTTTCACTTTCGCTGCGTTCTTCAAGAATTCAAAACTCTAGAGATTAACATAAATTAAACTTCTATTTATGGACATGACTTGTTATGAAAGAGACGATTTTACTAGGCAAGGGAAAGTAGAATTCTCATTGGGAATGGAAAAGGGCAAGTTTCCCTATTCTACTAGGCGTCGTTTCCTTGTTCCATCAAAAAGAAATAAAATTTATTAGAATCTCAAAATATATTAGAATTGCCTAATAGGTGTATAAGTTTTAAATAATATGATATACATTAAAATACCGATGATATTTTATCTCTATCTACTATAATAAAAGAGCGAATCC